TTTTGAAAAAAATAGGGTGGTATAATCTTACATTTTTGGACAGAAGTCTTCCCAAATTCCAATTGTTTATTTTCTGGGCTTTCCTCCTTAAGCAAAATAGATCAACAGATTCATACACACAGATAACCAAAAAGAGACAGCTAGCATAACAAGAACAAGAACAGTCATGAGTATATCTATTCCTGTGGCCCTGGATTGCTCCCCATAGGAAAAGGTCACTTAATATAGCATCTACCACAGCACAGAATAGGTGGTTAATGGTGGTGACAATCACGGTAATGGCAGTGCTGACGGTGGAAGGAGTAGAAGCAACAGTCGCTACTATTATTAGTATTAAATGCTTATCAACTCCCTACTGACAATTAAAATTCAAGCATCATGTGCCAACTTCAATTTAAGACAGAAGGCACAGAAATAAAGTGCTCCACGGTCAATTAAAAGCTACTAATGAGATGAACCAGAACCCAGTTTGTCCAATGCTTGAAGACAGCCCCAGAACAAACACCTAAAGATCTGGAAACAGTACAAATAGGCTTAAATTTTTCAGTTTCTAGCACTGACTTAAAATTTTGAATTGAAAGATGATTAGAACTGCCATTGGGGGCCTGTATTACTTTATTTCTATGTACACTTTGTCTGAAAAAATAAGCCTGAAATTCTACTGCCTTAGAAATTGATACTGTATGGCATTAGCATTTCAGCATTTTCAAACTCAATGGTTCAAAATCCTAGCTAAACAACACAACTACCTGTGAGCTTTCTGTATTTATAGATACTGAAAGCCAGCCTTCAACTCAGACATTCTGAATCAGAATAAGTCATAGTATCTGCTCTGGAAAATAAGACAGTATACCAGGGGAATAGAAAAGAACCATAGGGTTCTTTTTGAAATATTCAAATATCAGACACAGGCTAAAACAAAGATGTTTAGAATGTTCAAAGACATAAATGCTAAGCTTGAACATTTCAGCAGGGAATGGAAATGACAAAAGGAGACACTGCAGATGTGAAGGGAAACCAAACAGATATTCAAAAACAGAAAAATACCATAACTGAAATTAGGACATCAGTGAATGAGTTTAACAGCAAATTAGACATGGCAAAAGAAAGAACTAGTGACAGAAGAAACCATTTGGAATAAAGTATGAAGAGACAAAAGATAGAAAACATAGAGGACAGTGTAAGTAAAATAAAGAAAATAGAGAAAAGGTAGATGAAGAGAGAGAATGGAACAGAGGCAAATCTACAGAAATAATGACTAAGAACTTTCCAAAATTGATGGGAAAAAAACCAATCCACAGATTCAAGATACCCAATAAACACCAAGCAGAATAAACAAACCCATCAAATCAAGCAGAATAAGCAGGCCCATCTAAATAAAACTACAGAAAACAAAAGAAAAAAGAAAAAAAATCTTAAAAGAGGACAGAGAAATAAAGTAAGGTCTCCTTCAAAGATAACGAGAGCAATAATGTAGGCCACAAGAAAGTAAATGAAACCTTTAGTGTATGAGGAAAATTTAATGCATGAGGAAACTTTCAGAAATGATGGATATGTTTATTATCTCGAGTGTGGTGAAGCTTTCATGAGTGTACATTAAATATGTGCAGTTTATTGTGTGTCAATTACACCTCTGTAAAGCTGTTTTAAAAAGAAAACAGGGGATCCAATAAGGCAGTACTTTAGAGCAAAATTTATAATCTTGAAAACATATGCCAAGAATATTTCCCAAGTTCTGAATTGATCAACTGTTAGACAATGGAGTCATTAACAAGAGAGGAAACCCAGGATGAGCAAAGGTCTGTTTTGTTTTGTATAACAGAATGGCTATAGGTGGCAAATGGCTGAAAACAAAGATAATAAGCTTTGATTTAGACAAGTGAAAATGCCTCTTAGAGAGCTGGGTATTCAGGACTAAAATCTGAGGGGAAAAAAATCAAGGCTGAAAATATTTTTGTATCCCCCACATTGCCTAGGACAATGGTGGTCACATAAGTATAAGCTCTTTTAACAAACATCTATTTAACCAACCAATATGCTCCATTTCTTCTAGAGCATACTCATGACTTGAATGTCTACTGATAATAGGCCACTCTCCAAAATGTTCATGCCCTTCTATTCTCACCAGTTGAGCTGTATGCTTAAGTCAAATTGTGTATGTTCTCAAACCTCTTTGTGCCAGTTACACTTACTGAAATTATCTAATTTAATGAAATATTACATAAACAAGTGAAAAATAAAGATAATTTTTTCTCTATAAACCAAGTTGAATGTTGTAGAAAGACAATAAAAGTTAACAAATAAATACATTGTTGCAAGAGATGTGATAATTTAATAATAAAACACTGGAGATAACAACTATATCACCTAAGTGGGCTTCTAATGTAGTTTTCTGGACTCAATTGCTTTTCTAAATTTTATTCTAGTTCTACAATATAACTGGAGAGATAATATTGCTGCTTTCTTGCTGCAAAGTAAACACACCCAATTCTAATTGGAGATAAAAGAATCAGTACTCTGAAGGCTCCAAATACAACAGACTGAGACTCTTAGCAAACTGCTAACTGAACTAGATATATGTCTTTGCCATTATCCTTATTGTAAGGCATAGATAAAGGACCTACTCCATATAAAGGAGATAAAGAATACACATTAAGAACTGTCAGCACTGAGTCTTGTTTGTCCAATTTACACTGAAGGGAATTTTTGCTTCTAAGAGATATTGAAAGATAAGAAAATTACACAAAAATAGGAGATTCTAGGTCTGGGGCAAGGTGCTAGGAGAGAATTCAAGTAATTACACAGAATCAAAAAAAAAAAATTTCAGAAGAGCACAAAGTGCAAGAATGGGTAAATGCAAGAAGAAAAGATTAGAGCCATCTTTCACTGGAAATTGCACTTCTAACACAGACTACCCTTGTTACAGAAGTGAAGGATTCAAGTAAGGAGCCCTAGAAGAGGCATACCTCAATGAGCCTTTACATGTACAGATTGCTCTGAGTTTAAAAAACCGTTTCACATATATTAACTCATTTTATTCTCATCACAATCCTTCAGTCAGGAAAGAAATGTTATTAATCCCATTTTACAGATAAAATAAAGGCCCAAATTTAGTACAGACTGGTTTAAATAGCATAATAAACTGAACTGTTTAGTAAACATTTTTTTCAAAATTACAAAAATTCACTTACCTTCAAAGGCTGTCTTTTCAAGGAAAATCTACTGTTCCTGTTATAACTCATAACATGCACACTTTCTAGCTATTACAAAGATGGCTTTAACCAAAAACTCTATCATTCAAATTGGCAGCTGGAAACTATATACCTCCAGAGACACCAAATGAAGATAACAATTGCAGCAGATTTTCATTTCAACTAGAGAACAAGTTTTCCCATCTTTACAACTTTTAATTAAAAGCTGCACAATGTCCTTGTAAGGTATTGGGAGAACACTGAGTCCTGATTCTTCATATTTCCCTGGGAGGGGAAGGAATTTCTGTTAGCAAGAAAAGTAAAAAGAATGCTCCTAGCTTTTTTCCATCTCTTCACTTAAAACTCCCCAGGAAAGAAGGAATGCCTTAGCTGGTTGGTTAGTCTGGAGCCAAGCTCACTTGGCTCAGCCCTTTCCCTTTTTCAGGGCCAGTAGAATCCAGTACATGTTCCTTCAAGTCCTATACTACAGGGGCAGCCTCCACTGCCATCAGTTTTCTCAGTAGCAAAGTTAACACTGATCTCCATTTATCTTTTGTTTCATTTCTCAACTGGTTACACAGTTGGGAGGGAACAAAGATGTCTCTACTGGTCCCCTAAAGCTACAAACAAGGTTAAGAGGTAAAAATCTTTTTAAAAAAAAGACAGAGAAGAGCTCTTTCTTTTTCCTCCCCATCTTCATTATTTTTGAAAGCACTTATATTAATAATCCACACATGTAGTTGATAAATCGTTTTGTCGTATGAAACAAACAGCATTAACTCTATAGTCACCATATCAACATGATCCTACATCTCAGCAAATGTTAAGAAGCCAAAGCACTGAAGACCTAGTGATGGGAAATATACAAATACGGGGGGGGGGGGGGGGGGGGGAACTAGTAAACACTATTTGCCTCCAGGGGCAAGATCAGATTTTTTTTTTTTTCCTTTTTGTCTTTTTTCATGTCCGGCAACGGATCGCAACCCTCAGTGCTGCGCCCACACCTCGCTCAGCCAGTGAGCGGGAACCGGTCTGTATGTGGGATCCGAACCCTCGGCGGGAGCGCCACCGCACTCCCAAGCGGCGCACTGCAGCAGTGCGCCACCGGGCCGACCCCAAGATCAGATTTTGAAGCAACCTCTAGTTAGATTAGATAACCTCATATTTTAAGGATTCTTCTAGATTTAAAATCCTGTTTTCTATCTAAAATTTCGCCTGCAGTTTGCATGGACCACTTTAAGTCATGGTTCTGTTATCTTCTTTAGCAGTTCAAGCAAAGTGCAGCTACAGAAAAAAAATCAATGAATAAAAATAAACCTCTCATTCTTCATCCATAAAAATAAGGATATTATCCTCTATTGCTCAGAGTTTTTGAAGGAATTGAATCAGGTAACATATGTGAAAAAGTTTACCAAAATTCCAGACATACATTTTAGTTTCCTTTTTCTATAGCCTGAAGCTACTATCTTTTGCCACTAGATGGCAATGTTGGATCAGTAGGTCAAAAGTTGACAGTTGTAGCATGCGAAATCTGGATTTTATTTAATCGGTAAAAGTGAAATGTATAAAAAACTGTATTACGAGTGTTTTCCTGGAATTTAATGAGCTTACAGATAAGATTTTGAATATTTAAAAGGAGAGGCTGTGATAATTTCACATTCTGTAAGAAATGAAAGTGCTAATGGTGCGCTTACTTTTCATTTTTAAATCTTAATTCATTTTAATTAAGAATGTGGGTAATCCTATGAAAAGGGCATCGCGCAAAGTAACACATATGTTAATAGCTAATAAAAATGTTTAAACATTTACCTTGGACCCCAAACTGAGAGAAATGATCTCATCCTCAAAAGCAGAATGTGTGTCAATATGAGCAGGAATTCCTGGGATGGAAAATATAACACGTCACTTCATTTTTTCCTTTTAGTAGATTTAAAATGACTCTAAATATAGCCTCACACTATTATTGTAAAAACGTTTTTGGTAATCAGAAATATACTATAACTTTAGTTAAAAGGAAGCATTTAGGGTTAACATGACTAAATAAAATTAAACCAAATCTAAACTAAAAATATCTTAACTTCAAGTTAAAGTGCCACTGGGATTATTCTAAAATCAAGTCACTGCTTAACTAGGACAATTTTCCAATTCTAGCCCAAAAGGAAGATGTGGAAGATAAATACAAAAGCCTTGAAACTGAATTCCCAAGTACTGTACTTGTAGAACAAAAGCAATAGCCAAGTGTGAAGATTAAGCATATCAGTAATTAAGACATGGCTTCCTGCACCAGCCTCTCAATCTATCTTAATTGAGCACCTCTTACGTAAAAGGAACTCCCTGTCCTCAAGGAGCTTACAGATCAATGGAAAGACAGGTCAGCCCTCTCCACTCTTCTTTTTCAGATCCCTCCAGTTTGTAGGATGTAACACTGAGCACCTCTTACGTAAAAGGAACTCCCTGTCCTCAAGGAGCTTACAGATCAATGAAAAGACAGGTCAGCCCTCTCCACTCTTCTTTTTCAGATCCCTCCAGTTTGTAGGATGTAACACATGCTCCTTCATGCTCCATATTATAGGGACAGCCTCAGCCTCTACTGTGGGGGTGGGGGGAGGGTCTCCAGTTGTCCAGCTGTGCCAGTGACAAGGGCAGTATGTCTCTCTAATTCAGAGATGAGTATTAACAAGTCCATTTGGTTACAAATCTAAAGCCATATTCTGCCATAAGTTTTCATTGTGATAAATACAGAAAACAAAACTCTACAATCTCTACCATTAATAAGACCTTTAAAATTATTTGATTACTACAAATATCAGATGAACACGCTGCTAACAAGTGCAAGAAATCAATAACCTAAAAATATTTCACTAACATATACTCCTAGAATTGTCTTCCACATTCTCAAACAGAGAAAGAAGAGAAAGATCATCCAACCAAATAGCCTTCTTCTGTGTATCTGTAAATTATTTGGTTTCTTCCATTATACATGTCTCCTGTGTTTTTCAAGCAATTGTCTCCCTCTATAAATAAAATGTTAAGAGGGAACAAAGAAAAAAAATCACAAACAACAATCTGTGTTGTGCTTTGAGATGCAAATTCCTTAAGAGACTGAAGTGTAGATTTGTAAGGGATTGAGGTCAACACAGGTAACAGACATGAGCAAAGCAATCGAAGAGTTAGTTTGAGCTAAAAAATAATATCTTTGATCTTAGGGAATTATATAATCTACTTAGTTCTGAAATACAGAACTGAAATTTCAAAAGAAGAAATACTCACCATGCCCTGGTTCATACTGATTTACGGTCAGTTGATCAGGTTTATGTTTAACGTAACCTTCCTTCAACCATTTCTCCAAAATGCTATCACAAATATCAGGAAGACCTAAAGTCAGTAATCATACAGGCCAAACATTTACTTTGTATGTTTTACCATAGAATAAGAAAATAGTCACTATGATAAAAACCACTCAGCTTTTAATTTAGCATCCATTAGCATAACAATAAACCCAAAGCAGAACAAAATTAAAAAATAAAAACAACACTTTCCTAAGAAACTTTTAAAGTTATTTATTGATTTTATCTAGTAAGTCCAAAATAACGATTTTACTAACAAGAATTTTGGTATTTTATAAAATATCAATAAAACTATAAAATTTAGTATATCATATATTTGAAATTAACTTGACCACTTTTTTGTTTTTTTAAATCATTTCATTTATTTTAATTATTTTAGATGATTTCCCTCTAAAAAAAACACAACACCTTTCAAAGTAGAACTAACTTACTTTTTTGAAGTCATAAATGTTATTTCATGATGGAAGAAAAGCCTCAAATAAGACCAAAGTCATAAAAAAAAGATAAATTTAGCTCCAACAAAGAATTATACCAAAGCATTAACATCCAGAATATACAGTAAATTCTTAATAAATTAGACAATCCATTAGAAAAAACTGGCAAAGGATATGAAAAAGAATTCACAGTAAAGGAAATACAAATGGCCAACCTCACTAGTAATCAGGAAATAACAAATTTAAAAGTTTTACAATCACATGTTCATAGGGGTGGGGGCAAGGAGGGGTGCACATTTGGTGATAATATGTTAGTATAGCTGTTTTAAAGAGCAATTTGTCAGTATCTATTAACATTTTTAGTAAACATAACCTTTGATACAACAGTGCTACTTCTTATTACTAAGTCTCCCTTGAGAAACTCTTGCATAATGTATAAAAAGGCGTGAACAAAGACATTTACTCTAGCACTATTTATTTATTAATTTAGCCAATATCAAGTTTTATTCTAGGCAACTGCAAATCATCCAAGGGTACATTCACATTTAACCCAGGAGCCCACTCTCATCTCCCCAAACAACAGTGGAGCAGGCATTCAACACTCCCAAGAGACAAGCATCTGTGTCTAGCACTACTTATACAAAAAAGCTAAAAACTAGAAATAACCTACATGTCTATCAACAGGGAACTAATTGAATAAGCTATTATGGGTCATTCAATACAATGAAAAACTATGTAAAATCTCCAAAACATACCGTGGAGGGAAAAGAACAAGCTGGAGTGCACATGTAATATGTGAATGTATGATTTATGCCATACCATACATATGTTAACATACCGCATATGTTAACAACTATGTACTTTCACAGGTATATCTATAGGATGTAAACTCATTTTTTAAAGGATTGGAAGAACATTATACTATACTGTTTTTTTTTTCTTTGAACTTTTTATTGAAGTACAACATATATCCAGAGAAGCACAAAAACTTAGATTTTTACAAAGGGAGTGTACCCAGCACCCAGATCAAGATACAGAACATAATCAGTACCTAGAAGGCCCCCAAAATGTAATATTTTTTTTCCTCTTTTCCTCCTCCCTTCCCCCCCACTACATCATATCTGTTCACTTGTCTTAAGTTCAAGGAATTGTTGTGACTGTTTTGTCTTCTTCCCCCTCACTGTTTATTTGTGTGCTCATTTATTTATTTTTAGCTCCCACATATAAGTGAGAACATGTGGTATTTCTCTTTCTGTGCCTGACTTGTTTCACTTAATATAATTTTCTCTCAGTTCATCCATGTTGTTGCAATACTATACTGTTAATAGTATGTACTTCTAAGAAATATGGGAGTGAGGAACCAGTTTTATACAAGTTTGAATTTGGGATTTTTTACATCAAAATAATTCTATTTATCTAATTAAAATATTTTCAATTTAATTGACTGTTTTGCAAGTTTATCTACACATGACAGGGCTGGCTGGTTAGCTCAGCTGGTTACAGCACAGCCTTATAACACCTGGGTCATGGGTTCAGATCCCCATACCAGCCACCTGCCCAAATATATATATATATATACACATGACAAATGAAACATACCCCACCAACTGTGATATTGCTGTACTTCTAATATATTAAATCTTTTTTTCTGAACCAACATATATTATTTATTAACAATTACTTACCCCCAGGTAATGGCTTATCTTTATCTATGCTGTTGTTCTCATAGTGGAATTCATAACCAAAATGCTTTACTCTTCTGTGCTTTAAGGATTTTTGAACTGTATGAAGACAAGAAAGTAACAATTGGGGAGGAAAAGAATTGCATTTCTTGGGCCGGCCCCGTGGCTCACTCGGGAGAGTGCAGCACTGGTAGCGCTGAGGCCGCAGGTTCGGATCCTATACAGAGATGGCCGGTGCACTCACTGGCTGAGCGTGGTGCAGACCACACCGTGCTGAGGGTTGCGATCCCCTTACCAGTCAGAAAAAAGAAAAATTTGTATGTTTCAAGTCAACACTTTGAGTAAGGATTAGTTTTGTAATAGTAACTTCTGTTAACTGCTAAAATTACTGTCTTTAATAAAATTAACCATTCTGCTTGATATCTGTTCTTTCAAGTCTAAAATTGTAATATACTCTTAAACAGTTTCGCCCAATCAATCTGAAAGAGTTAACCATGTAAACCACCACTCACAAGACTGCTACTGATCTGGAAAGACTCGGAGTAACTCTAATTTGCAAATGTCTCCAAAAGGCTCTTACTACATTATAGTGGTAGGGTACTGAACTGCTGATTCCTCATAGGAAATATGCCTTAGAGGGAGAGGAGCAAATAAGATAATATATGTGAAAGGACTCATAAAATTTAGCTATACAAATGTTGATTAATAAATATTAAACAGTTTTGAGTCTTAAATTGATAGCTATTTAAGTGTTATTTATTATTCATGTTCCTAACAATTGTCGGAATGATTTACCTAACATTGGATCCAGGCTTCTTTCAGTAATTCTGAGGAAATATTAAGAATTTTAATAAACCAAAGGAGGAGGGAAAAAAGAGAAGCAGTAACATGGCATTTGGCAGAAACTTATAAATATCAGATTTTAAGTTTCACTTACAATTTTGATTGTTTTTATTTTCTGTCCAATTAACACTTTTCAAAAGCATTTCCTCATCTTCAGAAGAAATAATTTCTTCTACTACCATGAGGCCTGGAGGTAAGGCTTGAGGCCCCAACTTCTTCCATTGTGCTGTGGGAAACCAAATTAAAACAGTCACATTACAAAGTTAAAGTTCCTATATACAAATAATTCTGTCCAGTAGCCATTGATCAGTTCATAAAACTCCCTATCCTGATTTTCAGAAATAAGAATGCTGAAAGGCAGATGACATATTAAAATTGCAAAAACAAAGACCAAGATCAAAATTATGGTACATTCCATCTACTGCAGGTATCAACAGCAAATAGAACAGTATTCATTTAAATATTCTGTTTGAACATGATTGAGTCACTTTTTAAATCTCACTAAGAGACAGGGTGACAGTATCTATAGTAGGCACTTCTATAAAAACGTCAGGTTATCTCTAAATATTAAATACAAGTATTTAAATGCTCATTTTTGCTCTTAGGCTCTTGGTACTAGCTATGGTCAAGTAACAGAAAAATGTAAAATAACATATAACTTTCTAAACAAATAAAAAATATCATTTATGAAGAACTGTTTAGCATAGATAAATATAACTTAATCTCCTTTGTCCTTCAAAGTTCAAGACAGAAATAACTCTGGAAGGAAACGAAAAAAGAATTTACTATTAGATAAAAAAAAATAGTGTATCCACATTTACTGTTAGGGATCTGATCACTCTTGCTACAGATATGAGTTCTGAAGCTTTTCTGCCGGGCAGTTTTCATCTTTGAATTATTTAACACAAAAATTCCCAAAGGTAATAATGTAAGCACATTAATATTACAATATAAATAGTAAATCATTTGATAAATATATTCCAAGTACTTACTATGTGCCAGACATTATATTATTTATTCAAATTACATGAGAAAAACTTTGGGAATAATTCCTTAAAGACAGATAATTTATATTATGTACAAGTAGTTCATATTTAGCTTTTTAAAGATTTTTTTTAAAAAGAATTTAAAATATCTCATGTATTTGTTATTCAGTGAATATCTGGTAGCAGATCACAACAAGTATCAAAACATTTGTGACACAGTTCTATTCTCAATTTACAATGATATCCAAGGTTATAAACATGATTGCTACACTCTTAGAAGGACATCTAGGTCTAACAAAGGATTTCAAATAAAGAACATTCCACAACTCACTTTGTGTAATTACTGAGTGTTCAACATACTAAGTGGGGGAAAACCCAACTTTAATCAGCATTATCTAATTAAAATTTACTCTTTAATCATTCAGTTTTCAAAACTGATCAGAAACACATAAAATATGAGGATAATCTAGTGCTTAAAATCTGAAAAGCTTGAGTAAGATTAAAAATTAAATACATGTGGACACTGAGAAGTACAATTTCTAAATTATATCTTTAAAAGAATCTTTAAAAGTTTTCCTGAGTCTTGTACAAAAACATAAGTTTAATTAGATTATACTCACCTACCCACCTCAAGGATATCTAATCAGATCTTTTATTGCCTAAATAGGTGGCAAATGAATATAAGATTCGATGCCTAAATCAAAGTTCATCTCAATACATCTCATCTCAATGGGGCAAAGGTGAAAAGATATAACAATCCTTGTATCAATTCTGTAAATCAGTCTATAAAGCTATTACTTTAATTAATTAAATTATTCAGTTCCTCACACTATCCAGTGGCTGTCGTATTGGACAGCACAGCCATGAACATTTCCATCATCACAGAATGTTCTATTGGGTAGCACCACTATAAAGCATTAGGGATCTTTGGAAGTTAAAGGTGCTTCTTCATTAATTTGAAGAATTGGCACAAAATCACATGGATCACAATTAATTCTTAAGTGATTAATTTGAAGCTTCTGGGTAGACACTGTGAAATAAATTGGTGATGTGAATCTTAAACATTAAACTTTGAAAAACACAATTAGGTAGGAAGGCTCCAAAATAAGTAACATGCACAAAAAATGTATTGTTGATTGGTGGTACCAACTCTTTAAAGGCAGGCTATTTCTTACTCACCTGTGCAACTTCAATTACTAGTCCCATGCCCGACACAAACTAGGTACTTAAAGAATGTCTGTTCAAGTAAAAAAGGCTGCTTAACTGATGTTCATGTCTATAAAAAGACAACTCACACAAAAGCAAGAACCAGTTTTTAAAAGATACCTGTATGATAATACCTTTGTCCACAAAGTTCAAGTACAGAATGATCTTTTGTCCTAAATCATCCACTATTTCTTTTCCATTGAGGGTAACATAGGCTTTCTTGGATTCTTCTGCAGTTTTGTATCTTACAAATGAGTAGGGCTTGTTAGGTGGCATCAACAGAGCATCCACCAGTCCACATTTTTCTAAAACTGGGAGCAGTTGGTTCCTACTCACACCATTACCCAAACCACCATTGGCAACAACCAGGCTCTTAAAAAACAAAAAAAGAAAGCAACATGAGCAATTAACATCAACCTGTTTATTTTGAAATAAGATTTCTACAACAATGTAATTAAGAAAGAAAAAAAAGTTTCCTTGTGGTGGCTGTTTGGTTTGCTAATTTCATAGAAGTATGTAAACCAATTTACTAAATATTAGGGGAATAAAAAGTACTCCTACACTGTAAATAATGTTGATTTTTAAATAGCCTATTTCAGTAAAATATTCATTTCTTAAAGACCATAAACGCAAATTAAAAGATTACTTTTTCATTGTTCATAAATATAAATTTAACATAATGAAAGGGAAAAAGGGGTAGAGAAGAAGGAACATGCAGTTACATGGTACTTGCTTTTTTGCCAGAGACTGTTCTCTATGCTTTTACCTACTTAATTCTCATCAACATAATCTTCACAACAAGTGAATTTATTTGGGTAATATTAGCCCCACTTTACAGAGGAAAAAATGTAAAGATCAGAAAAATTAGGTTAAGGTGGTGTAGCTCACAAACCAGATTTGGCCTGAGGACAATGATTTGCCAATCCCTGATTTATACTAAGATTAGGACACAGTGTATTAGCTTTATTACACAAATGGAAAAAATGTAAAGATCAGAAAAATTAGGTTAAGGTGGTGTAGCTCACAAACCAGATTTGGCCTGAGGACAATGGTTTGCCAATCCCTGATTTATACTAAGATTAGGACACAGTGTATTAGCTTTATTACACAAATGAGAATATCTACAACCTTATTTGAAAAGGATGTAAGATTATAAAATTGTATAATAAGTAAAACTTTTGTCACGGGACAGCCAATACTTTATATATATATGCAAATATAGACATAATAAACAAACCAACGACTACAATAATTATAATATGGTGTAAAATCTAGTCTCAGATGGCTGCCCTGAACCTCATTCAATGAGGTTTACTAATTAAAATAGCAAGATAATTAGGTTATATGTAGCCATAATTATAAATACATCTCCACACTCCTAAATCTAAGGAATTGCAAAGGTTTCATAAATGTCAGAGGACCATTGCCTCATCCCGGAATGAAAGATGAGGAGGCATGACTTGAAGAATTCTAGTGGTCCTCAAACATGCTGTCCGAGTGATTTATGGGCAACTCTAAAGGCAAACCACACAAAAACAAGTGCAGTGGGTGGGGAGGGAGGAACTTATTTCCCATTACATGTGAGTTATTCGATACAATTAAATATAATTATTTTATTCATAATTGTTCATCTAAGCAATTTTCCAATTAATAAGAAGTATGAAATAGAGAATTTGGATTTTTTTAAAAAGTTATCCTCAGTGCTGACAATTTGAGGATCAGCAAAATTGATTTTTCTAGAAAAATCTTATACTGCTATACATTTGTGCAAAAGCGTACATATATTTATACAACACATCATTAAAAGAGATAAAATATAATTACAGATCTCTTCACAATTTTATTCTTTTCCTTTAAAAGTATCGAAGAAAAAAATAATCAAAGCCCAAATAAGATGCCACTTCAGAAGACATCATGGTGAGATAAAACTTCTGAAGATCCTAAGGAAAAGACAGACCCAATCAGAAACAAGCTTCAGAAGCAAAAACAAGCTTTAACCGCTTTAACCCTTTTTTTTTTTTTTTCCTTACCAGTTCTCTACATGACCCCTGTAAGGAAAAGAGAGCAAGTTATGCTTGAGAAGAGATAAGTTTAGGGTATGTCAGCTTCATCTTCTGAATGCCTCACGGTCTCAATGGCTCTTGGCTGAAACAGTGAAGTGTATGCAAACATGTTAATTCTAATTTATTATCTATTCCATCCTTTTTATAAGGATTTAGCTTAAATTCTCTGAAGTCATTAATATTTAATTCCAAGTATGGGCCTTTTACCTGCTAAATTCAAATGTCCCTCAACAGACTGCTCATTCCTAAGCTTTGACACAGCACGGAAGACAGCATAAGCTCAAGGGAAGAGTATTGGTCTGAGGGTCAAGAGAGCTAAATTTTTTTTTTTTTTTTCCTTTTTTTGTCTTTTTTCGTGACCGGCAACGGATCGCAACCC